ATATAGTTGTTGAATGAGGCGGATAAAGGTTTGCGGTACTCCGTAGTATTGAAGCAGTTTCCAAATTACTTCTCGGTCGACGCTGTCAAAGGCCTTCTCAAAGTCGATGAAGTTGAGGTGGAGAGGTGATTGCCATTCTATGCTCTGTTCTATGATGATACGAAGCGTTGCAATTTGGTCTGCACATGATTTGTACTTCCTGAAGCCTGCCTGTTCCGGTCGTAGTTTTGAATCCAGTGCATCTTTAAGCCTCTCCAAGATGATGCGGCTTAATATTTTACTTGGGGTGGACAGGAGAGTGATTCCGCGCCAGTTCTTGCAAGCACTGAGGTCTCCCTTCTTCGGCAGTTTGACAAGGTAACCCTTCTTCCAATCGTCAGGTACCTTCTCTTCCTTCCACACCTTCTGCAATAGTGGTGTGAGCATGGCCGCTGTTGTCTCTGCATCTGTTTTCAGTGCTTCTGGCGGTATTCCATCTGGTCCTGCTGCTTTCCCGCATTTCAGTAGCTTTATGGCGTTCAGGACTTCCATTTTCGTTGGGGGATTAATGTTCACTTGTAGTTCAGCGGCTGCAGGTGGTATTTCTGGACGAAGTGCAGGTGGTGGTCGATTCAAGAGCTTCTTGAAGTGGTCGGCCCATCGTTTCCTCTGTTTCTCTTCTTTTGTAATTAAATTTCCTTCTTCATCTTTTATTGGTTTCATCTGTGTTGGTCTCTTCCCTGATAGCAACCTGGTTATTTGATACAATGTCGTCAGGTCTCTCTTACCTGCAGCCTGTTCTGCTTCACTTGCCAGTGTTTCGTAGAAGTGTCTTTTGTCTTTGCGTGCACTCTTCTTCACTTCTTTGTCCAGTGTTTTATACATTGTGCTCAGTTCCTCTTGTCGTTGAGCATCCTTGCACTGGTTTATCTTCTGCTTCACCATCCTCCTCTCCTCTATCAGCTTCCAGGTATCCGTCGAGATCCATTCCTTGTCTTCTTTCTTCTTCCTTCCTAATACTGTTGTGCAGGTTTCTTTCCACATAGCTTTCAAAGACTTCCAGTGTTCTTCCACACAGGTTTCTTCAGGGATGTTGCTCGATGTCTCCCATTTTGTCTTGATGGCTGCCTTGAAGATCTCCTTTGTAGTTTCATCCTTCAGTTTCCGAGTGTTGTACTTGGGTTGAGGTCTATCACCAGCTTCCTTGAAGGCTTTTAACTTGATTTGGAAGGTTCCTTGCACTAGGTAGTGGTCTGAACCTACATCTGCTCCTCTTCTTGACCTTGTGTTAAGTAGACTGCGTCTCCATTTTCTTGAGATTGAGATAAAGTCGATTTGATTTTTAGTGTGTCCATCTGGTGAAATCCATGTCGCTTTGTGGATATCTTTGTGCCTGAACACACTGCCTCCAATCACCAAATCGTTGAATGCGCAGAATTCTGCAAACAATTCTCCATTCTCATTCATTTCACCTAGTGCCTCTCGACCCATGGTTAGTTCTCTTCCCGTGTTGTCCCCTCCCAGTTTGGCATTCATGTCGCCCATCAGAATTTTGATATCGCCAACTGACGTCTTGTCCAGTGTTGATTGAAGTTGTCTGTAGAAATCCTCCTTTTTCTCTTGCTCTGCATTATTTGTAGGTGCATAACATTGTATGATTGTGACCTTTCTTCCTTTTGAGTTGAATCTTGCTGTCATGATCCTGGAGGAGATTGGTTCCCACTGCATGAGAGCCTTCGATGCTCTTGAGGACATCATGATAGCCACTCCATAACTCAGTGTGCTCGTGGTTGGCGTCTGGGTGACCGGAGTAGATTATTGATTCTCCAGTTGACAGTTTGGAGAGTCCACTCCCATTCCATCTGCTTTCGCAAATCCCAAGCACTTCGATGTTATACCTTCTCATCTCCCTTGCAATCTGGGCTGCCTTACTGGGTTCAAACATCGTGCGGACATTCCATGTCCCCACGTTTACTTTCGCTTTCATCGAGAGAAGACACATCGGCCAATTGGCTTCCCGAAGGCTTTCACCAACTGGCGTCATTTCGCCTCTCCGATTCCAGCGGGGAATAAGTTTGTTTTCATTTTTTATATTTTGTTTGTGCTTTGAAGTTTCTTTAGCGGTTAGATTTGTTTTACGGGGTAGGGTTGCTAGCCCTATGCCCAACCTTCCCTCTTTACCCGGGCTTAGGACCGGCTAGTAACTAGTAAACTAGTTAACCAGGCGAGGTTGTCGAATGACTATAGGACCGGAAATATGAAACACTATACTCCTCAGAATGATTAACCTGTAGTTACCACAAAGTGACTCATTCCCTTTCTTCAGGACTACGACAATAAGGAATTGAAAACAACTATCACAAATCATACATAACTATCATACAATAGCTAACACTCCACTGAATTTCAACAATAATCATCAAACACTGTCCTTAAATCTTTCAAGTACTAGTCAATCTCGTCCTACTACCCTCACTCTAATCACGCCACTCACAGTCTTCGCAACCTCCACAATACTTGAAACGCCAATTTCAGTGCTCCACTCCGTATTCAAATAAATACCAGGTGGAGGAATGCAAAGTGGAGGCCACGTGAGCTTTTCCTCAAAGTGCCCCGTTCATCTCTTCACTAGTCAGTCTCCCCTGTGAGTCAATTACAGATCCATCCTTCTCCATTATCCTATTTCTAACCATTCACCTTTTCTCCATAGTTTCTTCGATAAGTCTAACTAGCTATCTACTCTTATCCGTCACCGAGGCCCTTTCCATCTCATGAACGTTCGCTACTCACCACTCTTCTCAGTAATTGTGTAGACTTTCCTTCACTCTAAATTTCAGTTGCTTCGCTCCTCATTGTGAATGGGGACTCTGAAGATGTATTTACTCACTTCCTTTAATTCACAAGACGTTACTGAGATCCACTGGCCATTTCTAACCAATCACTAAGAGCTAGTCACGATCTTCAACACTGTTCTTACAACAACCTTCCAAAAGATAACTAACATTGCCATGCTCTAATAACTCTCTAGGCCGTATATCATCAAAAGTAGTCTTAGTACTCGCAATGTCGAACAATACACGAAATGATTTCCATGGTGTAGTCTTTTCACACTCAGCATCTAAGGGAAACATACACGTGGTAGCATCGAAGAGTGGTCGCCATCCTATAACATGCACCCGAATGAGTTATAACCTTCCACCCATCCTCTCAAGTCATCACCAATAGCTATATGGTCTGTTTGTCTACACTTCACTCTCTCTCTTCGTCTCCGCAGTTCTCACTGATCAGTAACAGATGGTTGACTGTGCACAGCTCCACCACGCGATCTTCACCATCTTTTCTTTCGGTTGTGATCCCGAAAACCACACCTACCCAAGCACCTCTCTGACTCACTTAGCTCAATCACTTCTGCATTGAAACCACCTACTCTACTACACCAATCACACATAAACGTTCGCCTCTCAAAACGACGATCACTAGACAGTCCCAATAGAACTCATCTGTCACTCCATCCAAATTCCAGTCAGTAAATGTCTAACCAGAGATTACAAGCAGACGATGGAAAGTTTCACTGTTCTCTATAGTCCCCACTGTATCATTACGTCAAACAACGCATAAACGACTGCCAACTGCAATCCAGTGGAGCAGTCAACTTTCTACCTTCTAACTCAAAGCTACCACCTACATCTGAAGGACCATAAGAAACAACCAACGAATCTACGGAAAATCGAACGGTGAATATCGCAGATTCACTATATTGAGTAGATTTTATAAAGTGAATAACCACACTTGAATTCTCAATGTGTATACGTTCGTTTGCAAAGAAAATGCAAGCAAAATAAGTATGTGCTGACAATAAGGCTCCTATTCGAGGAGAGAAAAAATTTTATCTTTTAATTTTAAATGAAGAAAGGAAAATACTAGTGAGACAATTATTCGATAAATAATATAAGTACTGAGTCTAGCCATTAAAGCAATATATCACTCAGTCCGTAACAACGTGGAGACTGGCATTACTCTCTAAAACTTCCAGCTGTCACGTATCACATCAGCATATGAAATTACAAGGCAGTGAGACGAAAGAAAAATAAATGGAAGTCATACCGCTAAAAGTCATAGAGAGCAATGAGGAACAAGATAAAGACGCACTGCAAGAAACAAAGTGTGAAGAAGGCAAGTTGTAGGTATGCCTGTGTGACCGAAATCGTTACTGAATCTAAGACTCAGTTTCTAACCTCTTTGCTGATCCAATAGCAGCAATTTCAGAACATACTAGCGATGTCACGATAATAAATCACACGTCGGAAACCTTCTCCTAATACTCTTCACTTTCAATACTTATATGCCACAGCAAGAGAGTGTTGCACAGTACACTTAACATTTAGTAGGCAATCAGACATCACGCCCTATAATACAAACGAATTTTATTTTAATGAAAAGTGCATCACAAACAGATTGTCACTGAATGTGTAAAAGACTTAGTATTTTTTCAGCGTCTTCACTTAATAGGACTAAGGAGTCTCTAGCAAAGAGAGCAATACCCCTTTGGAGTTAGACAAGATGAGAACCAAATACATCTAAAGAACGTCTTTGAATGTGGTTTTGAGTATTATGATTTTCAGTTTGACTATCTGAGATAGTCGTGGTTCGGTAGACGTGGCCCGGTGATCGCTGGTTAGAATCCTTCCGCGGTTCAAATTTTCATTTCACTCTCAGTCATCACCCAGTCTTGTGGTTTTGAATTTTCAAACAAGCATAATTTCCTTCGAGCTCGAAGATAAGTGCCAACAATGCTGTAGGTCCAGATGCAAAGCTTGGCACTGAAAAGTAGACGTATATTGAAATTATCATGTAAAATGCCATCTTAAAATCTTATTAGATGTACACAGTTTATTTTGTTACTCATGACACATGTAAATGTGAGGAAAATTAATTTTACTAAGTATGCTACTGATAAGAAAAACACAACCATCGACATACTGATACGAAGATTGACAGTAATAATGATAGTAGCAGCTAACCTCAGTCAGTTTGTTCACTGTAGCAGCACACTTCGCTTGTTCTTTGCCATAGGCTTGGGTCATTCGTTCAAGTTCAACACGCAGTTGAGCTACTTCGCTGCTGGCACACGTTGCTCGTTGGGTAGCAGCATGAACACTTTCTTTTGCACTCTATAAATTTAGTAGCACAGACACACACATATAAAATAAAAGTTGCATGACATCAGGCTGTCCAGTAAAAAGAGACGAGTACTTATGAATCAAATGAATGTAATGGATAGACTAGAAAGTTATTATACGGTATTCCGTAACAGAGCTATGATTTCCAGTCAAACAAAACACAGCGAAGAATTGTTTCATCCATTCAGTGATGTACACATAAATGTTAAAACTTGATAAAAGTGACAAACAAACAAAAAGAAGGTAGAATCAGAGACAACAGACATATTGGATAGTATCTCAACTGAAGCCTTGAAAAATAAAATCAGAAAGCACTTGATATACATAAGCTTTTACTTGATCAACCCAACCGAAATTAGTGATTGTTTAGAGGACGAAAATACACTGTTCAGTAAAGTGAAAAAGCTAACCACTGACGAAGGTGATGATGATGATAACCAACAACTTTTCGTGATAATGGGCACCCTACATCATTTATTCTGAATAATAGGAGACGACATACCCGTTACAAACAACGCATTGTGAGCTAAGAAAAAACACATTATCAGTTTGACTACGTGGGACAGTCCACGTTTGGCAGACATACTGATACTGGGTGATGACTTAATGAATGAAAAACCTGGTCAGTAGCCGGGTCTCGTAGCTCATTTGGTAGAGCACCGGGTAGGAAACCTGCGGATCACTGGTTCGAACCTTCCGTGACACAGATTTTTATTTCAACTTCCATCATCACCCAGTATCAAAAACATATTAACCATTCAGTTAGCATTTACAGACAGAATCAACGTAGAACCTCACACATAAATGCATCGGTTCAATTTGTTACACTTGACAGCAGTAAACAAAGAACAGGTGGATAGAATAAGAGTGGTATCAACAGAGATGAAGTTGTGTGACAGAATAAGCAATCTGAAGATAAAGGTTAGTGCATATATTCAAGCTTTGCGGGACGTCAAAGAGTGAATACATTTGTGTCACTACGACTGATTTTCAGCTGTCACCAAGAGTTAGTATTTACGGTACACAATGACTAGAAAATGATTTGAGAGAAGAGTTGAAGGTCTCTTTGGCTAAGACTCATCTCGACACTGTTACTTACAAAACACTTTCTTCAACTTGGTTGTTGATACTTCGTTTTTTGATCACAAAAATATGAATGGTTGCTGAACGCTATTTTTAACCAAAAGTAGTCATTAAAACAGTAGTTTTAGTATGAAACAAAACTCAACGTTGCTTCAATTCTCAGAATGTTTTGAGGATCAACATCATTCCTTGCCATAATTTCAGAAGAAATTATAAATATTACTGACTGCATCTAAAACTGCTTTCAAAACACAATAATTATGATACCAGGTTGTATCTGCGACTATTTTCTTGTCAAATGTACAATTGATAACTTTAACTCCTAATTGAAGATCAACGGAATTATTGTTTTAAAATAATGGAGAATAATTGTAGCTCAGATGAATGATGTTGGTTATGGTGAATTTTCTGAGCTGTCTTTCAAGAAGGTATCATCAGCGTTAACCTGAACAGGAAGTGAGTTTTCAGTATTCCACCCTAGGTGATTCAATACCCTGCTGTGACGAAGTACACTGAGATTGATAATTCCCTTTGACTGTTGTGACGTTGACTACAAAGATTTTCCGATTAGCCGTTTCCATGCCTGACTTCTGACTTTGCACTTATTATCACTTTTTTATTGGTTGACAGGCTAGGTCTATGCCTTCAGCTTATTGATTTTTAGTTGACCTGAATATCAAGGTTCCAGGAATTCCATAGTATTCTTTGTGTTTCCTCTACCCAAGATCTCTACCTTTTCAGAATCGAATACATCCACATGGTTGTCTACTTGTATTTATAGAAGACATGAGATTTTGTAACGCTTGATTGCCAACTGGTGTTCATGCAGATGAAGGTCAAGAGGGAGACCACTTTGTCTAATGTGGTGCTGACTACAGATGCCGCGTCTGATTTTCCAAATGATATATGGCTTTACTTATAGGTTGATAGCTTGAGTCTATAGCCCATCAACCAAAAAGAAAAATGACCATCAACTATAAGGTCAGAAGAGTCAGGTAAAGATACGGTGAATAGGAAAACCTATATAGTCTATGACACAACAATCAAAGGAAATTACCAATCAACATAGCTATTGAATCACTTAGGGTGGAATACTGAGAGCTCACTTTTTATTCAAGTTAACGCTGACGATGTGACCTAGAAAGACAATGAAAGCTTCATAAAGAAACTATCCATCTCAGAGAATGGAAAATAATCAAGAGGATTATTGTTATTTGCGTTCACGGATGTGTGCGTGTGCATGGCAATAGATACCTGGTACGTTTTGGCTAAAAATACTGAGAAATGAGTGTCAATCCTCCTTCAGTCGATCATTGATTTCAGTTCAAGAATGAAATGGTTCCACATTAACCATCACTTTGAATAATGATCCAACACTTAGTGAGTCAAAATTATAATGCATAGTTTGCAAAGATCATGACTACAAAAGGTTAAGCTTTTGCCCGTTCAACTTTATTTTCGTCATTACTTTTTTATTTTTCCGTATAGAAAACAAATAACCTTATGACTGAGTTGCCGTTATTTCTCTATGCACACATTTAGTGACAAAATGTCTGCCTCATAAAAATATTTGTTTTACACGACAAGCAGTTCCTTTTTAAAAAAAATGTATTTTGAAATCGACCGAGAAAATGGCATTGTGCTTTCGTGTAATGCGTATATACAGGAGAATAGAGGTAAAATATTGATGTTTAATTTTTTTTTCTTCTTCAAATAATGAATAATTACGAAGTGCTGCAGGGTGAAAAGAAAAGAAACACAAACAAGGTAAGACAACGAAAGTCGATTCTCAGTGGCGACTTAGCTGAGCTGTTACATTACTTATTGGTCATGTTGTCCAATAAATCATTCAGTTTTCATGACATAATGGCAATACTGGTTAGAACCTAGTGAATGACTCCTGGAAATTACCTAGCAGTCCAGTTATGGTTTAAATAAACTATCGATCACTGACTCTAGAATTGCATGATGCAGGTTCAAACCTTAGAATACGACTTGCTTCAGAAAAACAAGTGAATATCAGCAAGTACAAAATCTAACCCATTTAGAGCTTCCGCTAATTGGTCACACAGAGCTCGGTAGGTTGAAGTAGGTTCGAATTTGTAGTCTATTGGTAGACAGTCAAGTGCTTAATTTAACAAACTAAAGATTGAAACTAGAGAGAAAACAAGTAAGGTGTGGATTGTGCAGTTTCACAGTCCAAGTATAACAGAAGTAGTTTTTCTTACTGCAGAGCAGAATGGAAAAATTACTAAATCCAGATAAAGAACTAGCCTTCTCAACACTTTTCACATGTTTCTCAAGTGAATGCCATTAAGTGTGAAATATAGGTCAAGAGATGTGTCAAATCCTTTCACCAAGAAAATATACACATATCATAAAAATTAAGTACGAATTAGGTGGCTTACCTGTGCAGCTTCTAAGTAACGTGTAGATTTTTGTTGTTCTTCGTTAAGTGCTCTAAGAGCAGCTTTATATTTTTCACAGGCTCGCTGATACGCCTTACAACTTTTGCGTGTTGTTCACGTAGCAATTCCAATTCACGCGTCTAAAAAAAGTAAAAAGAATTTCGCACACAGAATAAATTACTTTGGTAGAATACGATAAAATCGCCGAAAAAATTATATAAAATGAGTCCACTTTATATCTTTTATTTTCATACCAATTTAAAAGATGCAAGGTATGTAAACATCAAGCTGATATCCAACCTATATTTTTTTATTTTGCACTGAATAACTAGAAAGTAGAGAAAGGTGATAATCGAAATTCGGTAGGAGTTAGGTGATTAATGACAAATGAAGGAAAATGTTAAACCCTTGGTAGAAAGATTGAATCTTAAAACCGACCAAAACACGTTTCAAGACTGTGTTGCTAAAAAAGTGTACCCAATCATGAATTAAGTTTCAAGTCAGAACATATTGTAGATAGTTTACAGATGCGTTAAACATAATCGGATATTATCCCTCTTGAAGCACTGGATTGGTTCAGGTAGTAGTTAAATGAAAAAAGCTACAATACGAATAGCCAAAAGCACGATCCCAGTTAAGAATGGAACTGTTAACCATCTCAATTATTCAGACAACTATTCCCTCATCGAAGAAGCAGAGGATTGTGTTGATACTAGACCATAAATGGTAGTTAACTACAACAGGCTTAAACGCAATGCTTATCACAGGCACCTTTTAGGATGATCTTTTCTAATCAACTTTAATATATTTTTGTCCACGAATTTTTTTACCTGACGTTTTTTGAAGAAAGGTAAATTAAACTATTACACCACTGCTACAGTTTCTACTTCCAGTCTATTTTGAAAGACAAAGAGATAAACATCTGAAAGCTAACAGTGTTGATGAATTCTTTAGCGCAAAAACTAACGTTATGACAACATGCAGTGCTAGGAATTCAAACATAATGTAATTGCGGGTATATCTACTATTATTTTGTGTGGGAAGCAGGCAGTACACATAGGTCTGCAAAAAACCCAAACAGTCAAACCGTTCATTGATTGATGTTCTCACTTCACTTGAGTACTCTCAAGTTTTCTGATAAACTAATCCTATTTCGATAGAAAAGGACTCTCCAAACTATTAACTGGAGAGTCAATAATCTACTCCGATATTGTCACCCAGACGACAACCACGGGCACTGAGTTTTGAAGTGGCTATCATGATGTCCCCAAGAGCATCGAAGGCTCTCATGAAGTGGGAACCAATCTCCTCTTGCAGGACCAGGACAGCAAGATTCAGCTCAAAAGGAAGGAAAGTCACAATCATACAATGCTACGCTATGCATCTACAAGTAATGCACATCAAGATAAGAAGGAGGAGTTCTACAGACAACTGTAATCAGTACTGGGCAAGACCCCACGCCAGTTGGAGACATCAAAATTCTAATGGGTGGGGTGACATGAATGACGAAATGCGAGCGGACAACGCAGGAAGAGAACCAATCATGAGTCGAGAAGCACTCGGTGAAATCAACGAGAATGGAGAACTGTTTGCAGACTTCTGCGCACTCAACGGTTTGCTGATTGGAGGCACTGTGCACAAACACAAGGATATTCACAAAGTGACATGGATTTGATTTCGCCAGATGGGTACACAAAACATCAGATCGACTTCATCTCAATGTGAAGAAAGTGGAGACGCAGCCTACTGGACACAACATCAGATCAAGAAGGAGAGCAGATGTAGATTCACACCACTCACCATCTAGTGCAAGGAACCTAACTTCAAAATCAAGTTGAAAGTTTTCAATTCAAGCAAGCTGGTGATAGACCACGGTTCACGTTAAACACCCGGAACGGAAACTGAACTGAAGGATGAAGCTACAAAGGACATCTTCATGTCAGCAAGTCATCAGGAAAAAATGGGAGACATTAGGTGACATCTATGAAGAAACCTGCGTGGAAGGACACTGGAACTCTTTGAAAGAGACGCGGAAGGAAACCTGCATAACTGTGTTGGGAAGGAAGCAGAAGTAAGACAAAACAAGGAATGAGTCTCGACGGACACATGGAAACTGATAGAGCAGGGAGAGGAAGATGGTGAAGCAGAAGATGAACCAGTGCAGTGCAAAAGTGAACAACACAACCTATAAAACACTACACTGGACAAAGAAGTGAAGAAGAGTGCGTACAAAGACAAAAGACACTTCTACAACACACTTGCAACTGAAGCAGAATAGGCTGCTGGTTGGAGAGACAGAGACCTGGCAACACTACATCAAATAACCGGGTTACTATCTGGGAGGGAAGAGATCAACACAACACAGATAAAACCAATGAAAGATAGTGAAGGGAGAGGCAAGCAGCGAAAACGGGACTTCCCTCAGATGAACGTAGAGAAGACAGGGGATGAAGATACCGAACTAACAACAAGCACCAATCACCATCAACGGGAGAAATCTAACGGAAGTTGTTCCTTTCACCTACCTACCTAGGTAGCATAGTCTCAACCACAGGCGGTGGCACAGATGATGACGTCAAAGCCAGGATTGGAAAAGCAAGACAGGCCTTCATTAACTTGAAATCAGTGTGGAGATCTACTCCACTCAGAATAAGGAAAAAGATCAGGATTTTGACACTAACGTTAAGTCAGTGCTTTAATATGGTTGAGAGACTTGGGGCGTCACGAAAAGCATTTCCAAGAAACTAAAGACACTCATCAACAGCTGCCTATGCTTGATACTGAAGATCAGATGGCCAGAATAATAAGAATAAGCAACAAGGAACTCACTCTGGCCGGGCAACAAACTAACCAAGAACCCATCACCCAACGTGTTGCAGACGGGGGTGGAGATGGGTTGGATTGGACATACACTGAGAAGACCATTTGGGGATATCATGCATCAGGCCAGGCCCTCAAGCGGGACCAAAAGGGGGAACGACGAGTTGGGCATCCGAGAGTGATATGGAGGAGATCGTGTGAGGAAGAAATGAAAGCTTCTGAGTAGTCGTGGAGCCAGGTTCAAAAGACTGAAGAGAACAGAGTGAAATGGCGACGTGCTGCTGAAGCCCTATGTTCCACTAGAAACCCAAGGGACAAATAATAATAAATAATCCTACTTCGAATAACATCGCATATCGAGGTTGGTGGAGACCCAGTAAGCGCAATAACGCATGGCCTAGCCAACTAATTTGATGAAAGTTCACAACTTCATAGACTAATTTACCTTCCCTGCACTAGTACTGTGCACTTCACCTATAAACCACTCAGACAGTGATTTCACTACGCGTGAGCAACGCTATGAACGCACGTACGGTGAGAAACTGTAGCCTCTCCCTATTTCCTGCCTTCAATGTGGTAATATTTGACAGCTACACAACAAGATAGAGCAGCCTACTGCCTAGTATACTTATCTTTTGATTGGCAATCAGTTATTTTACTTGGGAAAAAATCGGATAAGTTGGTGAAAGTTGAACATGACTTCTTACCCATGTTTAGATTTCATAAACATTCAACTAAAACGAAGGCACTGGTCAACACAATCTCCTATTTCATCCCATCCTTAAACCAGGTGTTTGAACAGATTAGTCCTCTAGCATCACTGTGAATATAATAGGTGCAAAACGCCCAGTAAGCATATTAAGATTTCTTCTAAAGATGTACAAAGTATACTGATACTCAATACGATTATCACAAATCTTAATTACTGATGAAAAGGTTCTCCTTTGTACTATGGTGCATTTAGCACATGTGAAAAACAATCAATTGGAAGCACTACAACTTATTTCCTACATAAGTGTATAAACATTTATATTTTTAAAAATGAAACAACATCAGTAATAACAAAAACAGCAACTTTAAGTTACTTCCCATAGATTTTTCACTCCATAAGCATAATTTTATAAATCATGCATACCTTTTCACTCAATTGATCTGATTTCTCCGCACATGTTTCCTTATACAAACGACTAAAGTGTTTCTCAGCTTCTAGCTGATCAGCTGCCTCTTGAGCTGCAGCTTCAGCACAATGAGCACGTTTGGCCATTTCCTCCATTCGACTAATTAATAGTTCAGTTGCTGAACTTGGATTATCCAGTGAACGCAGATGGTGATCATCAGGTGCATCTACATCACTGTGATCTGATGGGAAGTTTGAATCAAAATAGGAGCTTGAATTAAACAGATTGCTTGGGTCACTGGCAACAACTACTCCTCCAGGTGATACTACACGTGACAGGCTGTTGCGTGCACCTGGACGACCCAATCGATCAACTACTTCAGCAGCACGACGTGCTAACTTGGCAGTAGCCGTTGCCACAGCCAAATTCCCAGCTGTTTCAGCGGACTGTCTAGCTGCTTCCTCAGACTGTGCTAGAGACTATAAACATTTAAAGAAAAAAACAATACACAAAGCTTAGATCGTAATGACAGCACTTCTAACGATTTATCTGGAATTGTAAAAATTTTAAATAATAAAATCAAAGGGGAAAGATGAGCAACCAGTAACGGCAAAGAGTATAGTTATCTAGACAAAAATCGTGGTTGATCAGAGACTAAACTGATAGTAATCAATTCACAATCTGTATCTGGCAAAACAAAATCCTAGAGGAAGCAGTTGCACTTGCACACATTTTAAAATAAATATCTGAGGAATGGTTAGAACTCTACAGAGTAATGCAGACTTTCCAGTTGATGGCTGAGGTACAACAATAATCAAAAGATAAAAAGTTAAGGTGATACAGTTTTTAATCACAATGGCACACAACTATTTAAACTATCATTAAAAATCGTAACAAACAGTGTTCGCCTGAGTGGTTCATTTAGTGATCTTCATCTCACTTTAATACTAATAAAAGGTGTGAAAATGTAATATTTCTCCACACTATTCTCTATTTTTCCGAGTTGCATTTTGATGTCTGTCAATTACAAAACAGAATCTTATTAACCATGCTGATCAGAATGACTAACCTGTAGTTACCACAAAGTGACTCATTCCCTTTCTTCAGGACTACGACAATAAGGAATTGAAAACAACTATCACAAATCATACATAACTATCATACAATAGCTAACACTCCACTGAATTTCAACAATAATCATCAAACACTGTCCTTAAATCTTTCAAGTACTAGTCAATCTCGTCCTACTACCCTCACTCTAATCACGCCACTCACAGTCTTCGCAACCTCCACAATACTTGAAACGCCAATTTCAGTGCTCCACTCCGTATTCAAATAAATACCAGGTGGAGGAATGCAAAGTGGAGGCCACGTGAGCTTTTCCTCAAAGTGCCCCGTTCATCTCTTCACTAGTCAGTCTCCCCTGTGAGTCAATTACAGATCCATCCTTCTCCATTATCCTATTTCTAACCATTCACCTTTTCTCCATAGTTTCTTCGATAAGTCTAACTAGCTATCTACTCTTATCCGTCACCGAGGCCCTTTCCATCTCATGAACGTTCGCTACTCACCACTCTTCTCAGTAATTGTGTAGACTTTCCTTCACTCTAAATTTCAGTTGCTTCGCTCCTCATTGTGAATGGGGACTCTGAAGATGTATTTACTCACTTCCTTTAATTCACAAGACGTTACTGAGATCCACTGGCCATTTCTAACCAATCACTAAGAGCTAGTCACGATCTTCAACACTGTTCTTACAACAACCTTCCAAAAGATAACTAACATTGCCATGCTCTAATAACTCTCTAGGCCGTATATCATCAAAAGTAGTCTTAGTACTCGCAATGTCGAACAATACACGAAATGATTTCCATGGTGTAGTCTTTTCACACTCAGCATCTAAGGGAAACATACACGTGGTAGCATCGAAGAGTGGTCGCCATCCTATAACATGCACCCGAATGAGTTATAACCTTCCACCCATCCTCTCAAGTCATCACCAATAGCTATATGGTCTGTTTGTCTACACTTCACTCTCTCTCTTCGTCTCCGCAGTTCTCACTGATCAGTAACAGATGGTTGACTGTGCACAGCTCCACCACGCGATCTTCACCATCTTTTCTTTCGGTTGTGATCCCGAAAACCACACCTACCCAAGCACCTCTCTGACTCACTTAGCTCAATCACTTCTGCATTGAAACCACCTACTCTACTACACCAATCACACATAAACGTTCGCCTCTCAAAACGACGATCACTAGACAGTCCCAATAGAACTCATCTGTCACTCCATCCAAATTCCAGTCAGTAAATGTCTAACCAGAGATTACAAGCAGACGATGGAAAGTTTCACTGTTCTCTATAGTCCCCACTGTATCATTACGTCAAACAACGCATAAACGACTGCCAACTGCAATCCAGTGGAGCAGTCAACTTTCTACCTTCTAACTCAAAGCTACCACCTACATCTGAAGGACCATAAGAAACAACCAACGAATCTACGGAAAATCGAACGGTGAATATCGCAGATTCACCATATTGAGTAGATTTTATAAAGTGAATAACCACACTTGATTTATGATTATGTGTCTCACAAACGCAGCACACATCCATGGCACAAGACGCACAGTTTCCGCCAGCGAAGCTTATTCTCTGATTTCAATGAGAGTGTGACCATTGAAAACCACTTTGTGTAGTTTAGAGACTGACTTCAGTAGACTACAGATGCCATTCCCAGCTCTGAAATCGTTGTCGAGATCTCTACAACGGGAACAAATCAAGCATTAGGTAGGAATATGAACAAGAAACACGAAGAAATATTCGAAATTGAAGACGTGGTGGGCTGATAATGATCTGAGGGAACTTGAGTACTGACTGAGTTGTGGGAGTGGTTGCCACTTCCTGGCTTTTCGTGTTTTGAGAGGTTACTTGTTACTGACTCATGTGAAAAAGAAATTGGATTAGTAAATGTGGTACCTAGCTGTAGAGTCCAATGCACATCTACTGGATGGAGGTCAGTCACGCATGACCTTTTTGGAAGTTTCAGGTGTGAGTTTGATTTTTTGTATGCAGTTAAAAGCCTGTATTATCGGTACTGGAATGTTGTGGAGTAGGTGTGAGGGTGGGGGAGTTCTTTGTTGTTGAGGTTGATTGTTTGTAGCTTTTCTTCCCATAGGGAAGGCAGCGTCAGCATGGTGCCGCTGTAACCTGAAAGGAGCATGTTACTGCTGTCGCACCCTGTCCAGTCAGCAGTGAGACTTCGTCATCGAATCGCAATCGGAGCGTAGTAATCTACACTATTGTAGTAACTCCTTCTTCTTTTATCACTACCCAGTACACGTTTTTCGTGTGGTAGGACCTGGAGGGAACTAGCTATCCATCAGGATAACTTGTTGGATCATTGCGACATGGAGCATGACAGAAACAAATCCTAGTAGCGACTTTTGGTCGTGATTCAGAGGAGCTGTTATTATCTTAATTTATGTGGTTGCTTGTAATCTCACTATCAAATCCAAGTATTCGCTAAAAGTTTCATTTGCTTGCGACCAGGTTTTTGATAGGAGTAGGAGAAAAAATGCTTAGAAAAGGAGCATATTTGAATCTGCTATTTTTTCTTAGTACAAGTAAAGCTAAATATATGAACAATTTATCCTGATACACAATGTTAATCTATGACAGTACGTATGAAGAGTTACAAACAGTTAATAAAAGTGACGCGGAAAAAGAAATCGTAGGTGAAAGTGGCTGAGCGGCATTACAATATGAAATCTTTCCGTGTTTGCAACAAGAGAACTGGAATGAATACGGACCATGTACACTGATGGAAAGCTACAACGTTCAAAAATCCCAATCAGTTATCTGACAGACCTACACTGTAAAGAGACTTTAATAGGATTAACCAATTTATTGAACACTATGTCTTCGGCTAAATTGCAACTAAAAACTTTATGTAATTCCACTCCGCTCAACTTAATAAAATATATAGGTGATTAAAACATTCTCATGATCAACAGCGCCTTTCCCAGTTAGCTCGAATGATAAATCTTCATAACTAAAATTTTACATGTAATATCAGAAAAGCTTAGGAATTCGGCTTACCGCACATAATGCTATGCGTGAATAACAGGTGCCTGTGCACAGCACCGGCTATAGAATTCCCAATGAAGTTTACTTATGAAGAAAAAGGGAAATCTAAGGCTATAAACAAATTATCTTTCATCATGACGTGCTCCTACTGTTTGATAAGAGACAGAGTTCTACTTTCTAGATACAAGAATATGCAAATTGTCACACTTGTATACAATTTAAACTCTTCTAACGGTATTTATCTATAAGTATATGTACAAATATTTATGGAAAAATAAGAATACTACTAAGAATAGCAACATTATTGCTATTAATGTACACTTTGAAAGATTACATAACGGTATTAAATTTACGGTGTATGAAGGGGTCATTTCAGTTATGGTTCCAATTATCTGAAATAGTAATGGCAATAATGAGACCTAACTGTCACAGGAATATACTTGCGAATGCTAATGCATACCTATGAACACACACACACACACATACAAAGAAATACACCGACAAAAAAATATGTATTCATTGGATGAGTTGACAGTTGATTACTGTAAGCCTAAATGGGAAATATGGAATAAAATGCACAAAAAGAAGCCCTTTCATTTATGCAACATATCTATAAACGTGAAATAATAGTCTATAACTGTACCAATTCAGATTAGTTTCAATAAAATAAGATCTGTAGGATTACCATTCTCCTCCTACTTCACATTATTATTACTATTATTATTATTGTTAGCATTATCGGAATAAACTTTTTAATGTATATTCTTAAGAGTGGAGTATTAAGCCCATCAAATAATTAATAATGGAGCCAGTGAATTTACCTGGTATAGCAGAATAACAGAAATGTCACTTAATTGGACTACAAGTGAAATTACACGCTTTAATGCAAAACGAGAGAAGATTTTTACAAGTTGGAAATAATAATAGCCACACATAAGCGGTAACTAGCAAAAATATTTACAAGACTTTAGTGAAGTATACCACGATGTGTTGTGCAAACCGGATAGAAACAA